TCATGTTTTTTTCCCCTTCATTTTATAATTTATATTTATCATAGAAAGTTCATAAAGTACTGAAACTTGCCAAAAAATGTTAAGGAGTAAAAAAGAAGTGGGGAAGATGTAGGGAAAGTGTCTAGGGTAGGGTCAAAATTTTAGATAGGGCAAGGAAAGTACCTCACTGAGAAGGAGACATGTAAGCAAAGACCTGAAGAAGAAGAAGAGAGAGAGAGAGGAGAAAGGGAGAGAATGATGGGAGGGAGAGATGGAAAGAGCATTCCAGACATAGGGAACAGCATTCAAGGCACAGAGAACAGCAAGCACAAAAGCCCTAAGAGAGGAGTGGGTTTGATATATTCGGGGAATCAAGGAGGCCAGTGGGTCTAGAATGCAACAGGTGAAGGGACAGTAATAGGAAACAGAGAGCCTTTAGGGTGCTTGTTGTGCAGGGATTTATATGTTATAATAAGGTCAACAAAGTGATGGCATGGCCTGACTTTTATTTCAATAGGTTTGTTTGTTATGTGGGAGCATTTAGAGGCCTATCACAAGAATTCATGCAAGAGGTGATGGTGGTTTGGAACAGAGTAGCAATAGCAAATGTAGGGAAAATACTAAAAATCTGGTACATTTTAAAGTTTTAAGTGAAAAGTAAAAGAAAGAGATGAATTAAGAATAACTCCAAGATTACCATATAATACAGCAATTCCACTTCTTGGCATATATCCAAAAGAAATGAAATCAGTATCTTTGAGTACTCTCATGTTCATTGTTGGATTATTTATATTATTTATAATAGCCAAACATGGAAGCAGCTTGAGTGGCCATCAACAGATGCATGGATAAAAATAAACATATCTATATACTGGAATATTATTCAATAGTAAAAAAGATGGAAATCCTGCCATTTGCAACAACGTGGATGAACTGAGGGCATTATACTAGGTGAAAGAATTCAGACAAAGAAAGACAAATACAGTATGGTCTCATAGGTGGAATCTAAAAAACCAAACTCATAGAAACAGTACCTAAGTGGTTTCCAGGGGAGAGGTGGGGATATTGGGGTGAGAAGGTGTTGAGGGGGATGAAAATAGTCAAAGGTAGAAACTTCTAGTTATAAGATGAATAAGTTCTGGGAATTAATGTACAGCATGGTGACTATAGGTAACAGTACTGTATTGTATACTTAGAAGTTGCTAAGAGAGTAAATCTTAAAAATTCTCACCACTCACACATACACAACGGTAACTACATGAGATGATGGATGTGTTAACCTTTTTATAGTAATCATTTTGCAATCTATCTATCTATCAAATCATCACATTGTATGCCTTGAACTTATACAATATGTCAATTATATCTTAATAAAACTGGAGAAAAAATGACTGCAAGGATATTACGAATATCCAAGTCTAGAATATTAATAGTATGGAATCAACTTTTAGGAGCACCTGTTGAAGTCTCTCACAATTGGTATTTCCCAGAATATCATTTGGGAAATGAGATTAAAGATACTAAGTGAATCAAAAGCTATGCTAAACTACTGAGGCTTCAGGTAGGTTTAGGTTTAGCAGTGACAAGCAGCTCAGGAGGAGGATTATGATAACCATGAATGAAATGCAAGCAAAATTGAAATAATAAAATGACATTTGGATCTAGACATTCTATTAAGCTTAGTGGTAGAATCTGTAGTTTAGGTGAAATTGTAAAAAAAAAAAAAAATACACACAGCAAGGTATTTCTGTTCCATTCTTAGGTCTATATCCTGTATGCAAGGTCAAGAGGATCCTCACATGTGGGTGGCTAAGAAAATCCAGCAGAAGGTCAGGAGAACGACAGGAGTATATTGTTGGCAATGTTGATTTTGGATCATAGACTGTGTGGAAAGGCAGGAAGACCAGAGAGTGGAGGCTTCCCTAGAGATTCCAAATTCACAGAAAGAAGGGAGGCTCTAGAATAGATGATAGGTAGAGAGGTTGTGCTTTGGTCAGTGGAACTAGGCACAGGGCTACTGTAAGTTGCCCTTGTAAACATTGGGACAGTTCATAATATTTACTCCTTAAAAAAGAAAAAAATCTTTATTTAAATGTAACCCAGACATCAAAACCACCCTGGGGCTTAAATTTTCCTCTGGAATAGAGAACCCAGAAATAGCTACACACAAGCACCGCCAAATTATTTTTTGACAAAGGTTACAAAAGCGATTCAATGGAAGAAAGAGTCTTTTCAGCACATTGTGCTGGAGCAATTGGATATCCACATACTGAACCTTGACCTAAACCTCATACCTTATTAACTAAAAACTTCTCAAAAAACTAACGCAAAATTGATCATAGACTTAAATATAAAAGGTAAAACTAAAAAACCTTTAGAAGAAAACATAGGAGAAAATCTTTCAGTCCTATGGTTGGTGAATAGTATTTGGATATGATAGTAAAGCACAGTCCATAATTTAAGAAATGATTTAATTGGACTTTATTAAAAATAAAAACATTTACTGAGCAACAGACCCTGTTAAGAAGATGAAAAGTCAAGCTACAGATAAAGTATTTGTGAAGGGCATTATCTGATAAAAGACTCATATCTGTAATATATAAAAACCTTTCAGTAAAAAATCAAATAATGCAATTAGAAAATGGGCAAAAGAGATGAGACATTTAACTGAATCGAATATATAAGGCAAATAACTGCATGAAAGATATTTAACATCATTAGCCATTAAAGGAATTCAAATTAAGACCAGAAGATCTCACTACACACCTATTATGTATGTTAGCTGAGCAAAGTTAAAAATAGTAACAATAACAAATGCTAGTAAGGATATGGAGAAACTGAATCTCACACATTGCTGGTAGAAACTACTCTGGAAAGTAGCTCACCAGTTTCTTGAAAACTAACATAGCATGTATCATACAACAAAGCGTCGCACTTTTGAATATTTATCCCAGAGAAATGAAAACTTATGTCCAGAAAGACAGATACCATATGATTTCACTTATGTGTGGCATCTAAAAAACAAAACCAAAACAAAACAAATAACAAAATAAGAATAGACTCATAGACACTGAGAGGTGACTCTTGGTTACCACTGGGGAGGAGTTGGGTTGGTTGTGTTGGGTGGGTGAAGGGGATTAAGAGGCACAAAATCTCAATCATAATATAAATTAGTCATGGCGATGAAAGTACAGCATAGAGAATATAGTCAATAACAATATAATATTTTTCTAGTTGACATATACTAGTTGGGGTGAGCATTTAATAATGTAGACAACTGCCAATCACTGTTAAATACTTGAAACTAATATAATACCATATAGCAATTATACTTCAATAAAAAAAAATTTATGCCCACACAGAAACCTGTACACAATTTTTCATAGCAGTTTTATTTGTAAAAGCCAAAAATGGGAAACAACCAAAATGTTCTGAATAGGTAAATGGTTACACAAACTGTTGTATATTCATGTATCCTGTTGGTTTTGTTTTTCTGGAGAATCCTAATATACCATGGAATGCTACTCAGCAATAAAAAGGAATGAAGTATTGATACATGCAATAACTTAGATGGATCTCAAGGGCATTATGCTGAAAGAAGCCAGTCTCAAAAAATCATATATACTGCATGAGCCCATTTATATAACATTCTTGAAATGCCAAAATTATAAAAATGGGAACAGAGTTAGGGGAGTGGTGTTACTGTAACAGGGCAGCACCAGGGGTCTTTGTGATGATGGAATAATTCTGTATCTTGATTGTGGTAGTGATTTCATGAATTGACACATGACAGAATGACATAGACTATACAACACTTCATATCAATGTCAGTTTCCTGGCTTTGATATTGTACTAGAGTTATATCAGATGCAATCCATGGAGCAAACTGGGTGATGGGTATGTAAGATTTCTCTGTACTGTTTTTGCAATTTTCTGTGAAATCTATAATTATTTCAAAATGAAAAGGTTAAAAGAAAATTCTCTGAGACAGCTCTCTGCAGCCTTCCTTCATCTTTCTGCGTATTTCCTCTTTCTTTGGACATGACTTTCTTTCTCTTTAGTGCCAGGTGTTAGGTACTATGGCACTTAATCTATTTCTTCCCCCTTTTCCTTATGTTTTGAGTTTTCTTTTAATTGGCCATTATACAGAATCAAGTCAGTCTCCACCCTCCTTTTAAACCTATTCTTTTAATAAAGGTTATGTTTTTACATGCTTAATTGTAGAAAATGCAATATTCTTTAAAAAAAAACTATTAAGAAAACAATCCCCCCAAACCTTTTTATTTTTTATATAATCCACAGTCAACCACTTTTCCTAAGGTCAGTAGCCCACAACATAAACATATTTACAACACTTGTTTCAGAAGATAACAAACCATTTTTGTTTCACATGTAGGGAGCATTAATAATATTCTTGGTGTGTATTTATTATAATCACACCTTCAAGATTTACTGAGAAAATAGTGATATCAAGTATGTTCCATTAGTTTTTCATATAAAAATCCACGTCACAAAAATAATCCTTTGCCAGGCCATGTGTCCAGACTTTTCGTTTGGAAAATATGATCACTACAGCTACAGAATATCAAACTGAATACAGCCCTTTCCTAGGGGCATGCAAACTGAAATCTGGCAATACTTTGGAAAAGTACTACTTTAGGATTTCAAGAACCCAAAGGGCTTTCTGGTTTTTCCAGTGGGCTCAGCCCTACAGATTCTTAGTCCTTTGAAAAACGTATGAGTTGCAGGTGTTTAAATTTTCAAGTATTTTCTTCTGGTCTTTGCATTAAATAACCAGTAAATAGTCCTAACACCATGGATTACACTTTACGGTGGTTGTATTGACACTTAACGCACTTCTGCATTTTTTTTCTCCCATTCATTTTCCTTCCTTTAACTAAAGCTTTCCCCACTTTTCTAAGCTCAAGTGTTTAACAAAACATCAAACAAAAATGAAATGAACAAAAAAACCCAGTCTGTTACATCGCGGTTACACTAGCTTGAGAACGAAGGAAGTTTGTCCCTTGCGGTGATCCGTCCTGGTGTTTGCCTGCAGCAAGATGGCGGCGGTCTCAATGTCAGTGGCGTTGAGGCGAGCTTTCTTGGGGAGAAGCGCAGTGCCTGTAGCTGCCATTCCCGTTTCCAGGGTTCCAACCAGGTAACAGAATTGTCAGGCTTCTTCTCCAAGCTTCTCAGGTCTCTCCACTTTTGCGGAGGTCTGTGATGGCGGGGTCCCGGAGAAGGCCTCGGGGAAGGCGTCCTCTGCTGACCCTCTCTCGGGACAGAACGGGCGGCTTCGGGGGTAACTGCGGTCCAGGGCCGCGGCCAGGCCGGGGGTGTGGGGGGATGAATGCGGGGTCGGGGGCACGGGTGGGAGGACCTCTGGTTTCCTGGAAACTTCTCACCTCTTGCTGTGGAGAGGGTCGGTCGGGTGGGGCACTAGCCCCCAACAAGGGAGGAGTCCCCTGATTTTTGTCTCCACTTCCTGCTCCCCTCCGTTTTTCACCTGTTTGCCCATCACTCCAGTCCTTTCTGGAGGGTTAAATCCTCTCTAGCTTCCTCGGCTTTACGTGGTATTGACTGGTTTTCTGAACAGAAGTATTGTTTTCTTCGGTCTTCTTGGGAGGAGAACTTGGTTGGAATTCAACGTTAGTAAAAAATAATCGCTGCTAGTAATATTGGAAGGTGGTTTTTAAAAGGTTGGTAGTAATTCCGGGAAGTTGCCCATCCACAATTTTATTAAAGCTCCACAGTAATTCAGAGATTATTGTTGTTTTGCCTGGAAGCATTTTTTGTGATGATTTTTTTTTTTTTACTGCATTACTTAATCTTCCATTTTCCTGTTTTTCCGAATTTTTATTTTTCCTGTCTTTATTATAGTACTAACACAACAGCATACACACAACGAGCATTTTATTCTGTGAATTGTGTTTTATAGTTTTTCTCACAGCTTGTTAGTGTAAGTATAAACCAGGTTTTATATTGAGTGTCGTCTATGTGCTCTGGAGACTACATTAAGTGCTTACTTAGAACAGTGATGGAAAGACTGGATGGACCGATGTGAAAAGACTGGAAGGAATGGGAGTAGTTAAAAGTTGAAAACATGATCTAGTCAAATGCTTGTTAATATAGTGTTATATTAAATGAATGTAAAGGGAATGAAGATTGTTAGAACTAGGATTAATTGAAAGGATTTTTGGAGCTAAGTTTTATTAAGATTTTTAAATAGTGAGTGGTTGGAAAGATGAGAATGTCCTGGTTATCAGTGGCTAATGAAACTGCTTGAAGGTGAAAGTAGAGAAATAAGTACATTCTATAGAGTCATTGAAAAATAAGATACTAAGATGGGGGAAAGGTAAGTTTGTAGTTAACTGTTCTACATATGGGGAACTTGAATGCAAAGTATTTCTAAGGTCAGTTACTCCATTGGTTGACTTAGGGCTAGGGTAGAGGTGACACCCAAGTTCTTGTTCTCCTAGACATTATGGAGATTAATTTTGCATTCCCAAATAATAATGTATTCACAGTAGCCCCAGAACTGAAAACAAACTTGAAGCACCCACAGATGCGTGGCTGATCAAAACATGACTGTATATCTAAGCTTAAGTCACAACCATTTTTTCCACAGTTAAGGTAGTTGAAGTTAAGACACTAGTTTTGGGAAACTTTGATGATAATTAGTATCACTAAGGCAAATTTAAAGAGTCAGCTTGTAAATGTTAGACGACATTTGAAAATAAAACTTCAAATCATGTAAGATGACCTTTGTTTCACAAAAAACTTAAAAACCAAGGAAAATAAATCTAAACACAAGTCACATGACATGTTTGCTTTCTATACCACTTTTAATCTGAAGTACTTAGGGCATTCATCACCTTGCGGGAAATTTATGGCACTTGTTCCTTACGTATTATTTGCTTTTCCTCTTAAGCACTCTCGATTTGAGAGTAATGAAGATCTTTATGAAAGAGCTGAGTGTGGAAAGATAACCAGTTAATGGGGGAATCTACATCTGAAATTCAGTTTGTTGTAATATTTACAAAGCTTTTACAAATGATGAAACATTTCACATCACTTGAGTAAAATGAGGGACAGTAGAATCAGTAAGGTACCTGGTAAGAAAGGGAGAAGTGAACAAATATAAATATTGAAGAAAAGTAACTATCTAGAAAGAGGTAGTTAATTACTACATTAACTTATATGAATTTAACTATAGTATATCAGTAAAAAACAAATGAGCAAACCAAAAAATTCAGCACTGTATACATAGAAAATAATTATTTAAACAGTGTAGGTGATTCAGCTGACCTAGTTAGAGTTTGGGCTCTAGAGTCTTGGTTTATACATGCTTCTCATTTCCCTGTACTGAATGGTGTGGGGGAAACCTGGATAAATGGCCTAATAAGGGATTGTCCAGGGTAGGTTAACTATTTAGGATATTAATCTAAAAACCAGAGCAGATGACTCTCTTTCAAAAGAGCGATGCTTAGGATTTAGGGCAGTGGATGCAGTGGGTTTTGGTTTTGCTTTCTTTAACCTGTTCATTTATCTCATCTAGCCTTATTTCATCAGTTCCTTGTTTGGACTGAGTTTTGTGTTGACCTCAAATGTAATAGCTCCTTAGGGTCTGCAAACTGTTAATTAATGACTGTGGTGGGGACTAAGAGACCTTTTTGTGAGGCCTATTTTGTGCTCCAATCTCTGGCACAGTTGTGTTGCTCTATTTCCTTTTGCAGCATTAGATGAGCCAGTATGAAATTATGAGTCTGTAAGAACCTCCAAATGAGTAAGAGGTCCTAACGTTGACAAGAGTTCTGGGTATACTAAACCTTGCTGGGAAATTGTCTAAATCCAAATTGGAGAAATGTGTAGGACATTTAAACCTTCAGATTGGCTTCAGATAAACTGTATAAACAAAGTCCACTCTGAAGGACGGCTACTTTTGCTATCTTTGGAACATATCAAAGTCAAATTACCTGAACTTACTGTCTTATAAATAGATATTTTTTTTCACTCTTACATTTCCTTGATGAGTGTCCTGACACCTCCTTTGTATTCAAATTAAAAAAAGAGGAGGAAATTAATTTATTTGGGAAAGGGTGCTTATGGAACATTGAGAGCCTTTTTGGAATAATAGTAACTAAATGTGATTATTAGACTTGCTTTCTGCCAGCTACTTTACAAGTTCTTAGCAGTTATTTTTAATTTATGGAGCTTCATCAAGAAAGATGAAGCAACTTGATTTCTGTGTGATACATTTTAGAAGAGGTCTCAGTGTGGGATCAATACAAAACAGTTTCAAAAGGAGAAGCTTCAAAATTACATTGGTGAAAGTTGAGAAATGTTTTTATGGTGTTTATTCTGAGCAAAAATTAATAATAGCGGCTAACATTTATTTCTCACTGTGTATTAGCCACTGTGCCAGGGACTTTACGTAATACTTTATCTTATGTATTTTCACAGTAATCCTATGAAATCAGGTGTCTTCTAATTTTTCAGATTAGGAAACAGATTTTTAAGTTCACATTACCAGGAAGTAGTCTGATTTAGCAGTGTAAAGGAATATTAACTTCTGCATTTGGGAATATTATGTCTAATAAATAGTAAGTGAAAACCTCAGTGTTTTCCTCTCTCAGTTCTTTTCCTTTTAGCAAGGATTTTTCTTTGTTTAAGAGACTGATGCTCTTTACTTTCATTCCACTATTCTTTTTGTACAGTGAGTCTCCAATTGAGGAATTAAATTTTTTCTTTTTTTTGTTGTAAGAAATTTTTCCCTAAATTTTGTAAGTATTTTTGGTGAGAGACTGTCTATAGGTCTTACACTTTCTTATCCTTTTAAACAAAATGCATATAATGTATGTACTATATGAGCTATCAGGTATCTGCTATGCTTTCTGATTTCTTGCGTCTGCTTAATAGTGTTTTTGTATCCTTCTTTCACGGGTCTGCTTCCCTTTAGCACTTTGGGGTTTGAATACGAAGCAACTAAACCTGTTAGAATTTTGGGTAGAAGAAAGCAGGTTTAATGAAGCTCTGACAGTCAGAATTTACTTTGTTGTAATTAAAGCCTTTGAGCTTTTTTAAGGTCGACACGTAATTACATGTAATACATGAACTTGTGTTACGACTTTCTTTAGTTTGCAGAGTCCCAAAACCCTGATGGAGCCTTATTGTACCTGAATTATGCAGTGGCCAAATTCTTCATGACTTTCACATAGATGTTTGGATATTTTATTAAACTATTCTAATTCTTTTTCCTTTAGGTAGTGGCATGAGACCAATTTAGAATTCCTGTTACAAATTCTCTTTCTCTTGATATTATTGAGTATTTTGATAGGTGAATATAAACTCAGGTTCTTTAGAACTAGTTAGTTGCTCTTATGTGACCTTTTCTTGTTGCCTTTACCTCACTAGACTTAACTTTTCCTTTGTGGGATCATGATCCAGTTTGGTGGTTTTTTAAACCCTATTTGAGATACCTTGGTCCAAGTGTACAGTGGTTCAGTAAATTTAGGGTATGGCTTGTCTCTACAGTGATTACAATGGGAAAGCTAGGGCTGAACACTACTGTTTTTTGTTTGTTTGTTTGTTTGTTTGTTTTTAGTAGTTTCCATGCTGTATTTTGAAAGATTTCAAAATGCATTTTTCCTTGCAGGAGGGATGGCGATGTCCAGAAACAAACAAAAATGCTTCCATTTTTGCGTATTTTCCTAAACTACACTGAGTTTTATACATTTCACCCATGCATTGAATAGAGGCTTTTTCTTGGAGAAATTTTCCTTTGAGGTAAAACAGGCATTTTGATAATTTTGGAGAAAGCAGGCCATGTTATTCACTCTCTAGAGACTCTTGTTCTTCCTTTTGGAAGGGCTCAGGTTTAATATAGAGCAGCTGTTGAACTCTGCCCTTCAGAGTTTTAAGAAGAAAGTGTTTTATCCTTTAAAATGGAAATAGAGAAGTGGTCTTTGGCTGGATATAGTTCCCTAAGAAAGTTTCATTCTTTTCTAGAGTTCTTTTGTTTCAGTGATATCTTAGAATTGTCTCATGTTGAGAGCACTGTCTCTGAGAGTAATGATCTCGCTGCTTTTGTAATGTGTTTTGCTATATCCTTAGCAAAGCTAGATGAAGAGTTTATTTCTTTGTGTTTTCTAGGACTCA